TAATTAAAATAAAAACTTGTACTATAAAATCAATTTAAAAATATTGTTCAAAAGAGCCTACATTTGCTTTTTACTCACCACATCATATTCTTGCTAAGATAAAATCTGAGTTTTGACCAAACATTGAGAACTTGCTGAGGGCTTTATATTTAAGATTTAAATTCTGGCAAAGAAATTTAGGGTAATACCTTGTAGATATGATCAATATGTCTTTATGGTCCATACTAACTGAAAATATTGTTACCAAAATGATATTTATGGAATTTAAAATCTTTAATACATTAAAAAGCTAGAACATGACTTTAGTAACTGGATATCCAACCTTCAATGGATATGGTTTATTTTGTTTAATGCTCCTGTACTCAGATTATTAAGTTCACTTTCAATATTAAATTTTTGGCATTAAAAAAAAAAAAAGGTGAAGCCAATTAGAATTTGTTTCATTTCTTATAAACTTTAATATTGAGAAGGACTTACCATAATATCCTTTTTCTTGTAGCTGAAATAACACATATCACCAAGATTTAATAGCCTGCACAAAATATGCCAGCCACTTACTATGTATGACAATAACCTCTGCCAGACGTGAGTCTGTGTACCACACACATAAAAAGTTATTTCACTGTTATCGTTAACTGCCAGCTTTGAGCATCAAAGTCACCTTCATTTGAAATCAAACATTTATCTTAAGAAAAATAAAAAGTAATTCTAGGCACAATAATGAGGCATATTAAGTAGAGTAACAACTAGATAAAAGATGATAGTACTCAAGCCACCACCAAATATTTCACTCATCAGTTAGCAAGACGATAAAGATTTTATAAAGGTTAAACAAAAAGGAATCATAGACATTGTGATTGTTACTTATTATGTATGCATTATTCTCCTTGCAAGAACTTTCTGGAGAATTCATTTGGTTTTCACCATCCTAATTAAGCTTACTGTTATTAAAATACCTTCTAGTTTTTTCACTAATAAGTAGGTAATTTGCTAATTAAGAGATATAAAAAATGAGTAAGTCTTAACAAAATAAGGAAAAAATATGTTCCTACATTGATCTAAAGTTATATCTTAACACAGAATTTGAATCAGTATATGATTATACTTTTAAATTAAAAATAGACTAAAACTATCAACAGAGACATCAAAGTGAAATGAATCTTAAAAATTTTTGACCTTTAAAAAAAAAAAAATTTTTTGACCTTTTAATAGGTTACTGGCATGTAAGGCATCCCTGACTGGTTCATCTGATATATACTTTCAGTTAGTTTATATTTTTCTTGATAAAACAGATCCATCAAAATTAAATGGAAAACAAATTTAGTTAGGCAAACCCTAATTATGAATTAATCTCTAAAACAAAATGAGATGTTTTCTTCTGGAAAAAAAATTACCCCAATACATCTCAGTGATATATTAAAACAGAGTAATCCACTTTACCATACAAACTAAAGAAAAAACAGGAGAGCAGTCTAAAACATTTATTAATTTTAATTTGTAAAATATTAAGATTAAAAAGCTATGATCCAAGATATTAATATTCTGAACAATCATCATCCAGCCACTTAAGTTTCTAGCCACCACAAGATTCTACACTCAATAAAAACCTATGAAATTTTCAAAGTTTTAAAATGAAAGACAACAGAATTATTTACCCAATACTGGATAGTTGCTAAGCAATATGTTAAGCAAATAAGGTGCTCTGGGCAAATGCATTTTGCATGACCTATCTGACAGGCAATTTAAAACACCATTTACCATGTCTTCTCCAACACTTAATTTATAACTGGGGTTTGGTTCACAAACTAGTGTGTGATAATTGGTTATTAATGTATTGATGCCCTCACTTCTTGGGAAGCCTCCAGAGGTCTATGTTAGAGCCCCTGGGTAGGATTCCTGCATTCACAATCAGCCTTACCTACTTATCTAGTGTATTTTATGAACTTATGCTTTTAATGTATACCTTGATATGAAATAGGCTCTTATGGTAAAAAATAGTATAATTTCTAGTACAGGATATATAAAAAATGCAATACTCTAAATACTTTGGCATTTTTCACTTGTTCACACTAATTGATAAAATGACCTGCATCATCCATAAATGTTATAATTTAGCTTCCTTATACAGTCCATTCAGACTCCTTAAATATCCATAGTAGTCTCTATAGTATCATTTAGAACACAACTACCCGAAAATAATAGTGCATTTTAATTAGATGGTACATTTTAAAGCATTTTCTATATAAAAAATAATTTTATGCAATTTGTATCAGTACCCTAAGATAAAAGAATAGCCAAAGGTTATATGTAAATTACTAATTATCTAAAGGAAGCAAAACTGATTTACTGCTTAATTAATGTTAGTTCTTGTGTTAGGCAAATAACTATTCTGAAAGCAATAATACATTGTCTATATCTATTTGAGATAAATGTTTTATATCGATGATATAATATGCAACCAGCTTCTGAGAACGGTGTATATCTCTCATTATGATTTAATTATGAGCCTTATATAGAATTGTTTAAACAATTATGAACGGTTTTTGAAAGTCAAAGTCAGTATTCCAATTATAAACCTCATTGAAGTCCACAATGTCAGAACTTCAGGATGTATTAAGAAGAAATAAGAAGTTAATATTTTTAGTGAGGTACTTCAAAATAGACTAAGTAGGATCTTGTTGACCTACACTTTATTGAAATTGATGTTCTTTTACAGAAATAACTTGGCATTCAGTTTTATTTTTTAAAATTCCAGTATGATTAAGGATAGTGTTATATTAGCTTCAGGTATACAATACAGTGATTCAACAATTCAATACATGACTGTGTTCATCACGATAAGTGCACTCTTTATCCCCTTCACCTATTTTACCCTTTCCCCCCATCCACCTCATTTTTGGCAACCATCAGTTCGTTCTCTATATTTAAGAATCTGGGTTATTTGTCTCTTTTTTTCTTTGGTTGTTTTGTTTCTTAAATTCCTCATATGAGTGAAATCATATGGTATTTGCCTTTCTCTGACTGACTTATTTCACTTAGCATTATACTCTTTAACTCCATCCATGTTGTTTCAAATGGCAAGATTTCATCCTTTTTGTGGCTGAGTAATACTCCATTATAAACAAATATATATGTAAATTATGTGTGTGTTTATATACATATACATACATACATACACACACACCACATCTATATCCATTCATCTATCAATGGACACTTGGTTTGCTTCCATATTTTAGCTATTGTAAATAATGCTGAATAACTTGGTATTTTTAAGAAAAATATGATTTTATACCAGTAGAAAAAATTGACAGACAGTAATAATTACACATCGTGAAAGGGAAACTGTCCAAATAAATGATGACTTCTGGATTTTTAATTATAATCTTACATATTTTACTTGAAAATACTGTGTGTAGATTTTAAATTTGGATATATTTAAAATTATTAGCAGGTGGAGAGTTTGGGTTTCAAAATCATTGTAAGTCAACTTCCTAAGCAAGGAATTTGGTCCAAGGTAAATAAACACAAGTTGCTCTAAATGTACTAGACTGAAGACCAGTACTTGAGTGCAATAAGTGTGTACCATTCTTTCACACGGTGATAATGGTACAAATTTATAATTGCATGATGTAACGACTATACACTTAGAAAGTCTTTCCATACAACAGAAAAACCGGTTATTTATATATAATTGGTTCTTTTAATTTAATGAAGGAAAATGTGGCAAAAGCCAAATTTTATTATTATTTTCCATTTGTTCATATTTCAAACAATTTACAACAAGTTCTAAAGTAATTGGCCAATTTTTTAATTTAACTCTCTAAGGTTATGATTTAGCTTACTGTGCCTTAAATTTCTTACTGAAATAATTTTTCTTATACAACTATTATACATTTGAACAAGAGCCATGAGTTTTTGAGAAGTACTCCATTGGAATGTAGTTTTAAGAATTATTTCTCAGAATTACATAGCTAGACTGGTATCCTGGAACTCTTTAAAAAATCTCTTTGAAAGAATATTCTAAGTGTATGACTCCACTGTAGAAATAAATAGAACAGGAAAAAAAAGATTAAAAAATAGTCAAAATGTGGGGCACCTGGGTGGCTCAGTCGTTAAGCGGCTGCCTTCAGCTCAGGTCATGGTCCCAGGGTCCTGGAATCGAGCCCCGCATCGGGCTCCCTGCTCAGCGGGAAGCCTGCTTCTCCCTCTCCCACTCCCCCTGCTTGTGTTCCCTCTCTCGCTGTGTCTCTCTTTGTCAAATAAATAAATAAAATCTTTAAAAAAAAATAGTCAAAATGTGATGTATCATGAAAGTATTAATTTATACATCTTGACTGCTCATTAATAGATGAAAAATATTACTTTTAAGTTAGTAATAATTTAGAAGTCAAGGATTTATTAGACCTTAAAAGTTATGTAAAAATCTACCAAACAGGGTGTATATAACATGCTACCATTAGAGTAAGTAATGTGGAAAAAGAATGCTCACATTGACTGGTATATGTATCAAATAACTTCAAAAAAATATACACAAACATACACACACAAAACCTGATTACATTGATTCTGAGGAGGGAAGAAGTGTGTGACTAGGTAACGTGGATGCACATTTTAAATTCTGAAACACAAATATATCACCTATAAAAGTAGATTTTAAGACAAAATGCAAAAAGTAAAAAGAACAAAATTGATGCTTAATTTGATAGCAATCTGCCCATGTTTACTTCCAATAGAGAGAATGACTTCTAAAAAGCTCTTCCGGGCACCTGGGTGGCTCAGTTGGTTAAGCAACTGCCTTCGGCTCAGGTCATGATCCTGGAGTCCCAGGATCGAGTCCTGCATCGGGCTCCCTGCTCGGCAGGGAGTCTGCTTCTCCCTCTGACCCTCCTCCCTCTCATGCACTCTCTCATTCTCTCTCTCTCAAATAAATAAATAAAATCTTTAAAAAAAAAAAAAAAGAGGGGCTTCCCCTCTTAAAAAAATAAATAAAAATAAAAAGCTCTTCCACCATTAGAATAAAATTTTGTTATATCAAATTATCCAGGAAATGGAAAAACATGTGTCTAGAAAAGAAAGGAGGAAAAAAAAATCATGCCTGTCTCTAGCTACTCAAGGAACAGGAACAAATTGGCTGAGCAAAATGAGTTTGAATGGTCTGTGGGAATAAAAAAAAAATCCTTTGATTGTCTGTCCTTGTTCAAAGTATTGGTTATAATACAACAGTGGAATTTAGACTCAGAATAATTAATACACTAAAATGACTAACATTTCAATATTAGATTCATCAGTGAATCTAATACCATGTTCATTCAACATACTCCAATAGTTGTTCACCTAAATATCACAGTTAAAGTATATGAATCATTTCAGTAAATGGCAATAAACCAAATTAAACTAAGATTATATTGATATAAAAAAACTTCAAAAAATAAACACAATGTACCATGTGACAAGAATGCCAGGTAAGTTCTAGATAATGACAGTATGTGTCAAGTCCAATTTAGCATTATTTCTAGTACAGCTGCGACTCAAGGAAGTCACTATGTTCAGCTCACATTAAGGAGTATGAAGTTATGCTCTACTTTCCTAAGGGCAAAATATCTACACCAATTATTTGGAATGTTTCTGCATGTGAGAACATCAATTCTCCTCCATCTATTTATTTATTCAATTACTTGTGCTTGTTGCCGACAGGTTGTTGATGCATCTAGTGGAAGTTTTAAAATTTCTAACGTAATCTTTTTGCTTTTTATAGATCTATTCAGACTTTCTATTTCTTCTTGAATCAGTGTTTGCAGTTTTATGCCTTTCTAGGAATTTTCCATTTCATCTAAATTTTTCGGTTTGTTGGCATACTGATGTTCATAATGTACCCTTAGAATACTTATTTCTGGAATTTCAGTAATAACATCTCTTATTATTGATTTTAGTAATTTGAGTCTTCTCTCTTTTATTCTTGGTCAATCTATTTTGTTAATTTATTGATCTTTTCAAAGAACCAACTTTTATTTTCATTGGTTTTCTCTGTTGTTTTCCTGTTCTGTTTCATTAATTTCTTCTCTAATCTTTATTATTTCCTTCCTTTTCTGTTTCCTGTAGATTTAATTTGTTCTTTTCCAAGTTTCTTAAGGTGAAAGGTTAGGATGGAACTAGAGAGTATTATGCTAAGCAAAATAACAGTCGGAGAAAGACAAATACCATATGATTTCACTCATATGTGGAATTTAAGAAACAAAACAAACAAGCAAAGGGGAAGAAAGAGAGAGAGAGAGGCAAACCAAGACACAGACTCTTGACTCTAGAGAACACACTGATGGTGACCAGAGTGGTAGTGGGTAGAGGGATGGGTGAAATAGGTGATGGGGATTAAGGAGTACACTTGTGATGAGTACCAGGTGTTGTATGCTAGTGTTCAATCACTATATTGTACACCTGAAACTAATATTACACTGTATGTTAACTAACTGGAATTTAAATAAAAATGTAAAAAAATAGGCTACTGATTGAAGATATTTTTCCTTTTAAATACTGGCATGCACAGTTATTTATTTCCCACTGAGCACTGCTGTAGCTTCATCCCATGAGTTCTGGTATATTGTGTTTTCATTTTCATCCATCTCTATGTATTTTTAAATTTAAGCCAGCCTTTCTTCAAATATTTTTTTCTGCTCCTCTCTTTCTTCTTTCCTTGTGGTACTCTTTTTTTTTTTTTTTCCTTGTGGTACTCTTCTTATGCATATATTGGTGCACTTCCTGGTATTCTGTATTTCTCTTAGGCTTTGTTCATTTTCCTTCATTCTTTTTTCTCTCTGTTCTTGTTTCATAACCTCTACTGATCCGTTTTCAAGCTCATAAATTCCTTCTTCTGCAAGTTCAAATCTCTCATTGAGTCTTTCTAGTAAAATTTTTATCATGGTTTTGTACTTCTCAATTCCTGATTTTCCATTAGCTTCTCCTTTTTTATAATTTTATCTTTATTGATATTATCTGTTTTATGAGATATTTCTATCCTACCTCAATCATGGTTTCCTTTAGTTCTGTGGACATGTTTACAACAGCTGCTCTGAAGTCTTGGTCAGTTAATTCTGACAGCTGAGCCCTCTGACAAGCATGTTCTGTTGCCTGCTGCTATTTGTCCTATGAGCCACAATACCCGTTTTTGGCATGTCCCATAATTTTTTGTTGAAAAACACTGACATTTTAGGTAATAGATTACAACAATTCTGTGTAGTGATTCTCTTTCCGCCCCCCCCCCCAAGTTTTGTTTTTACATGCCTATTTGTTTAGTGACTTGGTGGGGCTATTTTAGTAAAGTCTGTTTTCTCTGCAGTGCAGCCTGTGATGTTGTTCCTCAGAGGGTGCAGCTTTGGCCATGTGCATGGTCGTGTGGGATAACTGGTTTTATCAGGGCTCTCTTTCTGTCTATCCAAGATCTTTCTATTAAGCCCCCTGCCTCCTTTGGTATCACACCCAGCTGTTAGCCTCCGTGAACTGAGAACTGATTACTGTTTTTGATAATGCTCTGATGTTTAAATTGCTTCCTAATCGGATTCAATTAATTTGGGGTCCATTGTAGGGTAATATTTGAGACCAGTGTTTGACATTTTTTATAAACCCAGGAGAGATCTTAACTTTCTCTATCACTGGATCTTTCTGGTAAACCTCTAGCTGATTTATGGTGGAGCTATCAGCCTCTTCTGCATTGCTTACTACCACAATGTCCATCTTTTTCAAGGAAGCCATTAGGGTTGAACTTCTCTGTAGTTTGTTTTAAACAAAGTTATTCCCCTGGAAAAAATTTCTGTGCCACAGCTCCAGAGCTGATGGAGAGAGTGGCCCATATCTCTCTCAAATGACTCCCTTATTTCATAAGGAAGGTCCCAGACAAGCATGGTAGCCTCTTATATTTTCAGATTGTCTTTATTGGCATGAAATCTCCACCCCTTGAGCAAAGTGTGATGAGGGCAATTGGGACCCTGGAATTCTCAGCCTATTCTCCCTGAGGAAGAACTCTGACCTACAAGACAAGGCTTGGTGAAGGAAGAGAGTCTTAGATCTCAGTTGCTTTTACCGAAATAGAACCTCTGCAATATATAACTGGGCAAGGGTCGGGTGGGAGATAAGAAATGCTGGTTATACTGAACTGAGAGGGGAGAAGAAGAGAGCAGGTCATGGCTCAAATGCCACAGGCCTTTTTTTTTTTTTTAACTAAGATTTAGATTTTCTTGAATAATTGGTTTTTTATTTACTGTATGCACTTAAGACAGATTCCAGAGATTTAAAATGGATGTTTATTTGTTTTAAAAATAATTTTCACCAGTTATTGTTTGTCAGCTATGGTTGTAAGTCCGTGGAGCTCCTCTTACTGGTACTCCAGAAGTCATTGCCTCCTGGTCTCTTTTAATCACACTTCAATTGAGCTTTCATAGCTATTGATCCATTAAAATTGTTCTTGCCAGGGTCACAAATGACTTCCAAATGGTTAAATCCAAGGATCAATTTTCAGTTACAATTTTGCTTTGCCCATCAGCAGCCTCTGAGACAGTTGAAAATGCTTTTCTCTTCTACAATGTTTCCTCAGCTTCCAGGAGTCCACATTCACTTAGCATTTCTCCAACTTCATAGTATTCTTTGCTGATTTTGTCTTCTCTCTGATATCTTGAATGTCTTAGCTTAGGCTCCTATAACAAAATACCATAAACTGAATGACTTAAATAGGAGACATTTGTTTCTCACAGTTCTAAAGGCTAGGAAGTCCAAGATCAAGGTGCTGGCAGATTTGGTTGTTGGAGACGGCCATCTTCCTGGTTTTCAGACAGCTTCCATCTCATTGTGTGCTCACATGACCTCTTCTTTGTGTACTGTCAGAGAGAAAGCATTCTTTCCCTGTTCCTCTTTGTAAAGGGCACTAATTCCATCATGAGAATATCAACATCACATAAGCCTAAAGACCTCCTAAAGGCCTCAGTTCCAGATACCATAACATTGGGGTTTAGGGCCTCAACATATGGCTTTGGGAGGGGACATATTCAACCCATTATATTAAGTATGAATGCCTTAGGGCTTAATCCTCCTCTTTTGGGGATATCACCAGGCCCATGCCTTTAAATACCATTGATGTATTGAGACTCCAAATTTACCTCTCCTGCTCAAATCTTTTTCCTTATCCCAGAGCCAACTCCTGCTTCTTTGACTTATCTAATTGGATGTCCAATAGATATCTCAAACTTAACATGTAAAAATTGAACTCCTTCCCCCAAACCAATTTTACTTGCAATCAACTCCATTTCAGTTGATGGCAATTTTATCTTTATAGTTATTCAGGCAAAACCTTAAGTCATGCTTGGTTTATACTCTTTTGAAGTCATGATTGGTTTAATACTTTCTCACACCTCCCCATCCATCCAATTTTGTTATCTTCAAAACATATCTATAATCTGATCATTTCTTCCGATATCCACTGCCACCTTTTGATTTGAGCAATCATTCTCTCTCACCAGTTAGAGGAGTAACCTCCTTACTAGTCTCCCTATGTCCACAGTTGTCTATCTTAGTCTAGTCTCAACACAGCAGCAGAATTATCAGTTTAAAAATCATATCTTTTTTAACTCAAATCACTTACCTCCTCTATTGAAAACCCTTCAGTGGTTTTCCATCTCTCTAAGAGTAAAAGCCAAAATAAAGTTTCAATGTCAATGGTGTACATTAGAATCGATTGTGGGCTTTAAAAATAGACTCATGGGGTGCCTGGGTGGCTCAGTCATTAAACGTCTGCCTTTGGCTCAGGTCATGATCCCAGGGTCCTGGGATTGAGCCCCTTGTCGGGCTCCCTGCTCTGCAGGAAGCCTGCTTCTCCGTCTCCCACTCCCTCTGCTTGTGTTCCTGCCTCACTATCTCTCTCTCTGTCAAGTAAATAAATAAAATCTTTTTAAAAAATTAAAAAAAATAAAAACAGACTCATACAGCTGAACCTCACAGAATTCTGATTTATAGGTCTGGTGGGGGTAGAACAGTGGCGTGGCGCTCAAGGATATATAAATATAATTTTTTTAAAGATCAACAGGTGATTCTAAAGGGTCTACTGAATTGAAAACAACTGTGTTAGAGTATACATGGAGCAGAAGAATCCAAGATATACAGGAGTTGCTGTTACTAATATTAACGAATAATATAATGTTAATCATTATTTATATTACATATCAACAAAAATAACAGCTAAGATTTGTTGAAGTCTGGTAAGGAAAAGGCAGAGGTGAGCACTTAGTGTGCATTAACTCACTTAGTACTAAAAACCTTATAAAGTAAGCCCTACCATATTTTGATTCTAAGACATTTTGTTTTCCCATCTTTTTTTTTTAAAGATTTTATTCATTTATTTGACAGAGAGAGAGAGAGAGAGAGACAGCGAGAGAGGGAACACAAGCAGGGGGAGTTGCAGAGGGAGAAGCAGGCTTCCTGTCAAGCAAGGAGCCCGATGTGGGACTCGATCCCAGGACCCTGGGATCATGACCTGAGACGAAGGCAGACACTTAACTACTGAGCCACCCAGGCGTCCCTTGTTTTCCCATAATGTGTCTTATAATCAGTGAAATCACACAACCACAACTGGCCCAGAGGGCATTTATGATATATATGCCATGCCCTGCACAGACACAAATTAAATTCTTCTGGTCAATGATACTATGTGATACAAAACATTTTTACCTGAATCAAAAATGATTTATAAAAAATTGGACTATGAATGTGAATAAGTTTTAGCAATATCTTACCAATTTACTGCTTCTACTTTCCTTTTGATGTATATTAGGTGAATGATATATAATAAAATCTCTATCTAAGTAAGTCTATAAGAGCTGTTTCAGTAAGTATAAAATAAATATTCTTAGTGGTGAGAGTACTATGGGATAGTTTAATTGTCACTGTATTTTCCTTCTAAGTAGTATATCAAATAATGATTGAGTTACCATAATATTAGCTGAAATACAGCATATTCCCCCACAACAGATTTATAGGCTATTATAAGTGGTCAACTATGACTATAAGCAGTAAATCAAACCTGTTCAAACTCAGGCTATCTTAATGTTCTTTGTATGGTTCAGAGAGCTTGAGTTTTGGAATCTGACAAACTTAATTAAAAATCATTGCTCTTTCATTTACTACTTATGAGCTTTGATCATTGCACACAACTCCCCTCAAATTCCTTATATAGCTAAAAGGGAAATAATATATACCTTCTAGAGTGAGGATGAAATACTATTTTTGTTAAATACCCAACTCCAAAATGTTAGATTGTGCCCTCTACTTTCCTGAAATTTGGTTGTTTGTGTTACAATTATGAAATAACATAATCGGGCGCCTGGGTGGCTCAGTTGGTTGAGCGGCTGCCTTTGGCTCAGGTCATGATCCTGGAGTTCCTTGATCGAGTCCCGCATCGGGCTCCCTGCTCAGCGGGGAGTCTGCTTCTCCCTCTGACCCTCCCCCCTCTCATGTACTCGCTGTCTCTCATTCTCCCTCTCTCAAATAAATAAATAAAATCTTAAAAAAAAAAAAAAAAGAAATAACATAATCATTCTTTTTTACCAAATACCAATCCCACAACCAGAGATAATCTTGGCAATTCTCTCAAAATCTCCATGAATACAATGCATGTGTGGGTGTTTATGTGTGTGATTTACACAAATGGAAACATTATAATACTACATATCAGCATTTCCCAGTTAATAACATATTTATAAGACCTGTAGTTTTCGAGAACTATGATTCCTGTTTGTTTGCTGCTATATTCCTTTAAAAATGTGCTTGGAACAATACTAATTGTTCATTAAATATTTGTTGAATGAAGGAATAATGTTTCATTTTACACATACCTATCTACCATATTCTTAGTTTCCAGTTACATAATATCCCATTATAAGAAAATATACTTATTTCAAGAAGCTTTTTGAATGACATAAACTTGTTGATCTACAAAAAACCCTCTATAAGTATCTTTGTATGAATATATTTTGAAAAAGTAGGCAGGCTTATGTTTTATATTCCTATAAATATAGTTGTTACGTCAAAGAGTTTTTCTTTTAATTTTAATAAGCAATATGCAAAGCAAACATTTTCTATTTTTTGTTTGTCCAGTGTAACTCCCCCTTGTTTTGAAAACAAATCAACATTTAACTTTGGAGAATTGGTCCTTTGTCTCTCTCTCAGTCCATGTGGATTTTGTAGCACTGAAGCTACCCCTCAGCTCCAGAGTGAGCATTTGTATTGGAAACAGGGTTGCCAGACAGAGCAAATGAAAATACAGGATGTTCAGTTAAATTGGGATTTTAAAGCAATGAATTTTTTAGTATAAAAACACATATACATTGGAGACATATATAAGGAGATACATGTGTGTATGTACCAAATATGTAACATATTATGTTGAATCGGATTAAAATTTATTGACAGAAATTCAATACTCTGGGCCATTTATTAAGCTATATAAAAATTGGGTCTAAATTAAAGATAACAAATAATAAATATTATAATTTTAGGCAATTTTTATAATTGTATTAATAAATGTATAGTACAAACAATGCTAAAAGTTTTTATCTTATTTTTTTTTAGAAATTAACTCTATGTACAGTTATGCAACAGTTTACATTTACTTCCATTACTAATCCCGCTTCCAGAAAACTTCTTAATATACTATATCTCCCCCTATGGATGACACCACAACAAAGTAAATTGAAGTGTTCCTTAGAGATTGTGTACATGTATGTGTGTGTATCTTATTGAAATTGCTAAAATTATGAATTTCCAAAAAAAAAAAAGGATCTGTGTCTTTTTCTTTAAACCTGCAGTATTTATCAATCTGTCTGGAATATTGCAAGAGATTAATACATCTTTACTAAATTGAACAAAATGAAAGCACTATATCTACAACAAGATTTTGGCAACAGGTATAGAAGGCAAGAATCAGTTAACTTTCAAATCATATGCCCCCATACATATCTGACTTCTCAATTCAAGTCATTTTTAAGTAGATTTAGGCTAATTTTTAAATCTATGATAATAGGGGTGCCTGGGTGGCTCAGATGGTTAAGCGTCTGCCTTCGGCTCAGGTCATGATCCCGGGGTCCTGGGATCAAGCCCCGGGTCGGGCTCCCTGCTCAGTGGGGAGCCTGCTTCTCCCTCTGCCTCTGCCTGCCGCTCCCCCTGCTTGTGCTCTCTGTCTCTCTGTCAAATAAATAAATAAAATCTTTAAATCTATGATAATATAAATAGGCATGATGAACATCTGTAATTTGTAGTCTTACAGGATAAAGTGAAAAAAATTAAAGCAAGGGAATCATTACATTTTGAAATCCAATAAGAGAAAATGATAAGAAAAAATAAATTAACACTAAGACCATTAAATGCAAAGAGAGAGATTTGAGTGCATTATTTATGGTTTAAAAAAATCTTGTTTTGACAAAAGAACATGTTTTATGGAAATCTTTATCTAGCTATTAAAATGTTTAAACATTATATAAAATAGATTCTTAAAATACTAAGAAATTCTATAAGAAGTTGCATATATAGTATATAATTAAGTTTAATTTCTCCACCCAAAATAACATTTTCTCATTATTCTCTTCACTGTGCTCACTCCTTTCTCTCTAAATAAGCTGGGTGTGTAAGGAGGTAGAGCAACTCATTTCATAAAACACTGTGACACTGCATTAATAGTAAGAACCCATTTACCACAAATTTAGAATATCCTCAGAGAATATTCTATCAATTATTTACCCATGACATGACCTCAGTAAAGTATAACTTAATGATATTATTACTTCTTCTATTTTTATGCCCATAAAACAATTAAATATAGATGGAAAAGCAATGTATTTGCCTCTAGAAGAGTTTGCTACTCAGAGCTACTAGAATCCTATCTCTGGGTTTTAGTTTATTTTTAACTCAACTTTCAGGCTGATAACGCTAAATTCAAATTTAGGTTTCATGCAGTATGATTATGAAATGTGCATGAAAGGAGCGGATCATAAACACAAGGTCAGTCGCTCAATGGACATTGTCTTATCTCAGGCAATGTTGTTTTTATTGATTTTTAAGCATTAGAAAAGCATACATGATTATGAAAGAAGCAAATAATGTGGTAAAGCTCCATATTAATATATTTTTTAAACTTTTAAAGACTGCAAGTTTAAGAGAATTAAAGAAGGAAAAGTTGCTGATATAGGAAATGCAATAATCATTCAAACACATAAACCCACTGGTAACAAGAAGTTGATTAGAAATAACCTTAGGGGCCCTGCGTGGCTCAGTCAGTTAAGCCACTGACTCTTGGATTTGGCTCAGGTCATGACATCAGGGTCATTAGGTTGAGCCCTGGGTGGAGCCCCACTCCAGCTTGGCACTCAGTGGGGAGTCTGCTTGAGATTCTCTCTCTCCCTTGGCTCGTCCTGCCCCACCCCGACCATGATTGCTCTCTCAAATATATAAATAAATAAATATTTTCTTAAAAAAATAAATAACCTCACATTTGCCAATGGAATCTATTATTATATGGATTTTGCAGTTAGATTTTTTTAAAAGATTTATTTATTTTAGAGAGAAAGCGCAAGTGTGCGCACACATGTGTGCATACGCAAATGGGGGGGGCAGAAAGAGGGAGGCAAGTAGACTCCCTGTTGACCACAGAGCCCAACACAGGCTCAATCCCAGGACCTTGAGATCATAACCTGAGCCAAAATCAAGAGTTGGGTGCTTAACCAACTGAGCCACCCAGACTTTTCTTTTTTAAAGAGAGAGAAAAGTATGTGCACTCCTGCACAAGTAGTGGGAGGTACTGAGGCAGGGAGAAACAGAGGGAGAAGGAGAGAGAGAATCTTAAGCAGGCTCTGCACCCGGTGAGGAGCCTAAGTCAGGGCTCAACCCCAGGCTGGATCTCATGACCCTGAGATCATGACCTGAGCCAGATTCAAGTGTTGGATCCTTAACCAACTGAGCCACTAAGGCACCCCTGATGTTGGATTTTCACTGAGGCAAACTATAATTAAACTACTCAAAATGTGGGAAAAAATGTTTTCAACCAAAAAAATAAATAAATTCTTGTAACTATTAAGATATGCAGGATATTTTCACTTACCTTAGTCAAATATAAGATTAAATATATTCAATGCAAGCAGTAATTAAAATATTTTGATGGGTTTGTGCCTTATGGTACTTACTAAAAACTCAAATTTCAGTTTAAAAATGAAGATTATTAAGCATGACAATATTTCAAGAGACTTCTTTTAACATATACTTGCTCCTAACAAGTATTTTTGTAATGTAATGACTATTTATCTAAAATTGAATATAACATTGAAATTAAATGTTTTAATACCTCTGTAATAAGCACAAACTATTAAAAAAAAACTCATCCTTCTAGTGTATTAAAAATATTTTCACTGATCAATTGTTTCCATTCATTAGCACAGCACCTCATCCACAATAAAATGTTCATATTCTTAATAGGGTTATCATAGAAATGAATGTGAAGTTCCTATATGAAGAGGTATATTAAAATGAAAATCCTTTGTAGTTGTGTTTTTGTGTTTTTAAGAGCCCCTGAATTGTCAGGAGTGTTATTCAAAAAGTGTTACATCAATAATAGGCTTCTGTTACTAAAATTATACCACAAAAACAATATAGAAACCAAAGCTTGAAATAGTTTCTTTTTAAAAAAGCAACATCCCTGGCTGAATTAAACAATATATTTTAAAAACCCAAAGATTTTTTTTTCATTTTAACCCAGTCCTAATATTTAGAAAAGCAAATAGTACAATTCCTCTAACAAAATCACAAAAATATTAAGAAGGGAGAATCCTTTAAATAATTTTCATTTAAGGTTACAAATAAATTGCCATTGTACTAATCATAGGGGTCCTCTGAGGCTTACAATAGTTGATGTCTTAATGTTAGAGAAAGTGACATATCACATAAAGAAAACATACTGGGATCTTTCCCTTTTGGTAATATTTGTGTTAACCTAATAGTTAAAACTAAATAAAGGGAGGATCAAATAAAAACACATTTTAACCTCCATCCAAATAAAGTCTATAAATGGAGTTATTATATTACCTACAACTAATATAATAGTAGATAAAAGTCTTTGGGTCTTTAAGACCAAAATGACAATCTTCTAATAATATAAAATTATTATCTAATAACAGATCTGTGAGTCATCAAAATGGCATCTTTACTTGGGCATCCACATATGAATGGTTTCCAAACATTTAGAATTCTGTATCCAAAAGATTAGTAAAATTATATTTGAGAAAACACCTCACAATATTTTTAACATGATATTATAAACATCATATGACCTCTCAATAAGATAAATTTTGTACTTCAGTAGAGGTAGCAAATTAAATTCAATCATTATTATAAGACTCACTACCTAGATGAGCTCTAGAAAGAGGGGCATTGTATTGAGGGAATATCAAGAGGACATGGTAATATTTAGGAGCACAGATTAGAAATGGCCCAGTGGTCCTAATCTAGTTCTCCCTTCCTATTTCTCCCTTGTTCTGTCCATGTGCAACACATATTTTGAAAGATTTTGACTTCCAATAAAAAGATAAATTAAATTTGTATTTTAAAAGTTAAAGTTTAATATCAGCTTGTCAGAACTTCTAATATGCAAAACAACATTATTTCCTTGAATTGATATAATCCTAACCAAAAGCAATTTCTCATCTTGAGAAGTATGAAAGTTTTATAGGTAAATGAACTATTCACATTAGTTTTCTCAAATATTCAACACTATTTCTAAACTTTAGTTATTATATATAAATATTCCTAGAGCTTGAGGAATTAGTTATATAGTACAATCCCTTCTCTTTATTTTTTTTAAAGATTTTATTTATTTATTTGAGAGAGAGAGAGTGAGAGAGAGAGTACATGAGAGGGGGGAGGGTCAGAGGGAGAAGCAGACTCCCTGCCGAGCAGGGAGCCCGATGCGGGACTCGATCCCGGGACTCCAGGATCATGACCTGAGCCGAAGGCAGTCGCTTAACCAACTGAGCCACCCAGGCGCCCAAATCCCTTCTCTTTAGAGGGAAGGAAATTCAATTAGGACACTTACACATTTTCAGAAATTAGTTAATGACGTAGTCATACACTGATCTTTTCACAGTGCTACACCCACATAGTTTCATTTTATAAACTTTAGAAACCAGATATTTAAACAGTGTTAGTCATATTGAGGTCAGAACCCAGGCTCCCTGATTGATCTTAACTTCTTTTCCAATGATTAGAAGCATAAATTGTCATTTGGCCTATGCCATTATGGAAGGTCTTCCCAGTGCCTGCCTACTGATTGTTTTTACTTTCCTGAATCCATAATTTCATCTAACAGATGGTTTAACATGTGTAGAAGACTGCTTATCTCCACATAGAATTCCACTTCTTGCCAAATATTTATGTATTTATATTTAATAAGATTTTTTTTAATCGGAGTACTTTTATCATAGGGTCATACCAAGTATATTCTCATTGATATTGCCTTGGCCATATACTGAAAATCAGAGAGACAGAGATGATCAAGATGAATTATTTCTTTCTAGGGGAGGGCTGTCAAGTTTGCAAACATATTATAGGCAGCACTGAGTTTTAATGAATGTTTGAAAACTGAAGAATAATTAAGAAGAACTCATTCTCATTCACTAATTATATAACTTAGAATACTCTGGGTTAGTTTTAAATCTTCAAATATAATATTTTCTATGTGGAAAAAAAGATGGTAAGCAATTATACTACTGCTTTATATTGTTGCACAAAATTATATATATAAAAATATACTGGGAAATGCATCAGCAAATAGAAGAGTAATAATGCTAATAACAGCATGCTAATATTAATACTCATAGACTATAATATTAATAAAAACAGAAACTTGCTTTTTTATTATATAAGTATAGAACAATAAATCTATTGTACATTTTTATTCCCAGATTATTATATTGCTTTGTTCCTTTCAATTAACTAATATCTACAAAGTTAAGAAACTATTTATATCCTTAATTATTCTGCAAGAGTACTACTGTTTTTATCAATTTTAGGATTAGAGGAAACATAAATGATTAATTCTGACACAGAAATGTATCAAATTGAGATGCACTTCAAACATACTTGAATTATCAGATAATCATGAAATGGTAAAGATTTAATTACTTAAAAAAATCTAGGCAATAAAAACCAAAAATAAATATTTATCAGTGAGAATTTTCTTTTAAATTACAACAGAGATACTTATAAAAATAGTTTTTATAACTACCTAAAGAGATTGCAAATCACTTAATCAACAGTATTAATACATATATTCAATATGAATTCTAACACTATTTAAAGTAACTGTTTGCAAATTAACATTGCAATTAACCAATGTTTCTACAGATACTGACTTAAAATGACAGTAGTAAAGTTTGCTCTAAAGCTTAAAAATTCTAGATCGATTTGTTCAATCTTAATAAGTAAAGCTGATTTGAAACTCTGTACATGAGTGGCACATGTTAATTAAGCAATACAGATTCATGTTTACTCAGATCTTTAAACAAAAGATTAAGTAATATTACTGATACCTCTCTCCGCCGAGAAGCCCAGCATGTTTGTTTGATCTTCCACACCACTGCAGCTACCAGCAATAAGGATAAAAAACAACTGGAAAATAAAACACAATTTTTGCTTAACACATTGGAAATATGTAATGAAATATTCAAGAATATTTATAGAATCTAAAATATATAGAACTAACCACTCCACCTTGGTAAATAATTAAAGCAAAAATGGATAAATTAGCAGTGTTTAAAATGTCCTCAAGTAAAAACAAAGTATACAGGTAGAATAATTATTTATATTCTTGTTATACAGTATAGCCTATCTTTAAGATTTTCCTTGTCAGAAAGAATGTAAACTTACAGCTCTGTTGGTCTTACACAGCAACAGAAATCTATTTAGAATTGCTACTGAGACATAAAAGCTGGCAATTTTATAAATTTAAATTTCACACAGGTTTATTCATTTTATCTGTATTAGCAACTATTTTAGATACGAGAATATTCCAGTGGTTCTCAACTGAAGACAGTTTTGTTCCCCACTCCCCCAGGGCACATTTGGCAATGTCTGAAGGCATGTGCGATTATCACAACATTGATAGGGGTGCAACTTTCATCAGATGAGGAGAGCCAGGGATGCTGCTAAACATTCTGCAGTGCATAGGACTGTCCCCAGTGACAAAGAATTATCCAGTCCAACATACCAGTCATGTTGAAGCTGAGAAAACCTGGTATACACTCATGTTTACACTAAGAAATAATTCAGTTACAGTGTTTATACATATGGTCTATACATATTAGGTAAAATATGCAATAAGCTATAAAAATCCAGGATACTTTGTTAGTAGTGATTTGAGACTAACAAATCTCAAAATAACAGAATCACATGAATCCGATTAATTGGTTCCAACCATGTATCACTGTTTTCTCTCCCTTTGCTCTGTGGTCAAACATTATGCTATGAAAAGACCCAGACATGAGCAAATTCATTAGTCACTGGTCACTACAAAAAACCTGGTCTTCATCCTTAACTGATAATCCCTGTATTCTTTCATCTATTCACTCATAAGCTGTGCAAATTTTAGCACTTTCTACTCTTGTTGATTCTTTAATATACTTTTTCTCCTTGTCTCACTAGAAGAGAAGATCTTAGAATATCCTTCGGTGATGATGACAATGGCAATTCTAGCACCTATCCAATGAGTGCTGAACACATTTCAGATAATGTGCTAAATACTTCCTTCACATTGGTGCATGGTTTTGGTTTTATAAGAACACTCCCAGACGGAATAAAAAAGAAAAATCCAATGCTCAAAAAGTTCAAAATAAATTGCTGATAGTCACAAAGGGAATAAATGGTAGAGTCAAAATTCAATTCCAGCGATGTAAGCCTCAAACTCTCTCCTCCCCAACTGTTAGGAACTCTGATCTTGCACGTAATCTCACAATAGTTGTATTTCCATTTGCATTCCCTAATCTGTTATCCAGTATCAAATAAAGTGGATAAAAAAAACAAGAAAGCCTATGATCCTAACCTTTTTAACCAGTAAGGTGCCTTTTGTTTTTTAATAATTATCTCCCCCTAATATTTTTTTTTATTTCATCTTAATTTAGATTTCCAAAAGTGCCCAAGTCCCATATCTCCTGAAAAATAAAAACAACAACCTTATTTTATTGACCCTATTCCTCCCTCTAGTTTATCAAGCATATAATCAATGCAGGCAACTTCATGTCAATTTCCTCATAACCTAGTCCTATTTAACTCCTCACAATGTAGCATCTGGCTTATATACTCATAAAGTTGTTAGTATTAATAAAGATCAATGTTTATAAAACATTCAGCATTTTAGAGGATACTTTTCTCACCCTGACTTTCTACATATTAAATAAACTGGTCTTTTCTCTATTAACAGACTTTCACTTTTCAATTGACAATACTAGTCATCCATTCTTTAAAATTTTAATACTTTATTTCCTTTTTTAAAAATTTTTATTTAAATTCTGGTTAGGGGCGCCTGGGTGGCTCAGTTGGTTGAACGATGGCCTTCGGCTCAGGTCATGATCCTGGAGTCCCCGGATCGAGTCCCGCATCGGGCTCCCTGCTCAGCAGGGAGTCTGCTTCTCCCTCTGACCCTCCCCCCTCTCATGTGCTCTCTCTCTCTCATTCTCTCTCTCAAATAAATAAATAAAATCTTTAAAAAAAATAAATAAAAAAAATAAATTTTGGTTAGTTAACATATAGTGTAGTATTACTTTCAGGTGTACAATTTATTAATTCAATACTTATATACAACACCTAGTGCTCATCCTAGCAAGTGCACTCCTTAATCCCCATCACCTATTTAACCCTTCTCCCCCTCCGCCCACCTCTCCTCTGGTCACCATAGTTTGTTCTCTATTGTTAAGAGTCCGTTCTTGGATTTGCCTCTCTCTTTTTTTCCCTATGATTATTTGTTTTGTTTCTTAAATTCCACATATGAATGAAATCATATGGTATTTGTCATTCTCTGATTATTACCTTTAGCATAATACTTTCTAGCTCCATCCACATCATTGCAAATGGCAAGATTTCATTCTTTTTTATTGCTAAGTAATATTCCATTATATTTTGTATGTATGTATCTATACATACATATACCACATCCTCTTTATCCATTCATCAATCAATGGACATTTGGGCTCTTTCCATAATTTGGCTATTGTAGACAATATTGCTGTAAACATCAGTTCATGTACCCCTTCAAATTAATATTTTCATATTCTTTGGGTAAATACCTAGTAGTGCAATTGCTTGTTCATAGGGTAGTTCTATTTTTTAACTTTCTGAGGAACCTCCGTACTGTTTTCCACAGCGTTTGTACCACTTTGCATTCCCAGCAACAGTGTAAGAGAGTTCCCATTTCTCCACACCTTCACCAACACTTGTTTCTTGTGTTGTTAATTTTAGCCAATCTCTTTGGTGTAAGGTGATATCTCATTGTAGTTTTGATTTGTATTTCCCTGATGATGAGTGCTGTTGAGTAACTTTTCATGTATCTGTTGGCCACCTGTATATCTTCTTTGGAAAAATATCCATTCACGCCTTCTGCCCATTTTTTAATTCAATTATTTGTTGTTTGGATGTTGAGTTGTATTAGATCTTTTTTTTTTTTTTTTAAGATTTTGGTTTTTTTATTTGACAGAGAGAGACACAGTGAGAGAGGGAACACAAGCAGGGGGAGTGGGTGAGGGAGATGCAGGCTTCCCGCCGAGCAGGGCGCCCAATGTGGGGCTCGATCCCAGGACCCTGGGATCGTGACCTGAGCCGAAGGCAGACGCTTAACGACTGAGCCACCCAGGCGCCACCTTATTAGATCTTTATATATTTTGGATACTAGCCCTTTATCAGATATATCATTTGCAAATATCTTCTCCTATGCAGTAGGTTTTTGACTATTTCCTTCGCTGTGCAGAAGCTTTTTATTTTGATGAAATCCCAGTAGTTTATTTTTACTTTTGTTTCCCTTGCCTCGGGAGACATATCTAGTAAAAATTGCTATGGCCAATGTCAAAGAGGTTACTGCCTGCGTTGTCCTCTAGGATTTTGATGGTTTCCTGTCTCACATTTAGGTCTGTATTCCATTTTGAATTTACTTTTGTGTTTCTGTATGAAAGTGGTTCAGTTTCATTCCTCCCCATGTTGCTGTCCACTTTTCCCAGCACCATTTGTTAAAGAGACCTTTTTTCCGGGGGCGGAGCAAGATGGCGGAGGAGTAGGAGACCTGGATTTCGTCTCCTCTCAGGAATTCAGCTGGATAGGGATCAAACCATTCTGAACACCTACAAACCCAACAGGAGATCAAAGAAAAGAAGAGCAACAACTTTCTGAACAGAAAAGCGACCACTTTCTGGAAGGTAGGACGTGCGGAGAAGTGAATCCGAGGCGATATTCGGGAGGATAGACGGCGGGGGAGGGGCCTCCGTCGGCCGCTTCTGGCAAGTGATAGAGCCGCGGAGCACAAAATCGGAACTTTTAAAAGTCTGCTCCGCCGAGGGACGTCACTCTGGTGGCTAAGCGGGGGGTGGAACCCTCCGGGACAGTGTGGTCTCAGGACCCTCGGGGTCACAGAAGGACCGGGGGTGCCTGAGTGTGGCCGAGCTCCCAGGTATCGGAGCAGGGAAGCCGGCTGCAGAGGCGGAGCCCAGGCGCGGGCTCTCAGCTCGGGGTGGCCATAAACCGTGATCCGCGGCACAGCCGGGCCACTGCTCCTCCAGCAGGGACCCAACAAGCGGCAGATCCGGGGAGACTCACCTTCCTCCCCCGGGAGGAGCCGCGCGGGAGGGCACCGCAGGGATCTGCTGGGTTTGGAGACTCCAGACCGGGTGGGGTGCCAGAGATAGAAACGCGCGGTCACAGGCCGGTTGAGCATGGAGTGCAGCCGGAGACCGGGGAGACGGGAGTGACTGACGGCTTTTCTCTGGGGGCTCACTGAGGAGCAGGCCCGAGTTCTCGGCTCCTCCGGGGCGGAGATTGGGAGGCCGCCATTTTCACGCTCCGCCTCCAAAGCTGTACGGAAAGCTCGCAGGGAACAAAAGCCCCGGAGAGCAAACCCGAGCAGATGACTTAGCCGAGAGGGGGCAAGGGCGGGGCAATTCCGCCTCCGGCAGAGACATTTGAAAACCACGGCAACAGGCCCCTCCCCAGAAGATCAGCGAGAACAGCCAGCCAAGACCAAGTTTACCGATCAATGAGAACGGCAGAACTCCAGCGCTAGGGGAATACTGCACATAGAATTCACGGCTTTTTTACCATGATTCCTTAGTCTTTTAAAGTTAATTTTTTTTTTAACTGTCTTTTTGTCTTTTTATTTCTTTTTGAATTTTTCTTTTTCCCTTTTTCAAACAACATCTTATCAATCCCTTTTTTTAAAAAAAAAACATTTTTATTTTTCATTTTTAGAGTCATATTCTATCCCTTCATAGTAGTTACCCATATTTTTGGCTTATATATATAAGTTGTTCTCTCTTTAAAATTTTGAGATAGTTTCTTCTAACAGATTAAAATATACCCTAAATCTCTAGTATATGGTGTTTTTCTATTCCCCTGCCTGATCACATCCTCTCCCT